TGGTATCAGTTCTTCTTTAAAGGTCTGATAGAATTCAGCAGAGAATCCATCAGGTCCTGGACTTTTCTTTTTGGGGAGACTCTTGATTGCTGCTTCAATTTCATTTTGTGTTATAGGTCTATTCAGGTGATTAATTTCCTCTTGGTTCAGTTTTGGATGATCATATGTATCTAGAAATCTGTCCATTTCTTTTAGATTTTCAAATTTATTTGAATATAGGTTCTCAAAGTAGTCTCTGATGATTTCCTGGACTTCCATGGTGTTTGTTGTTATCTCCCCTTTTGCATTCCTGATTCTACTAATTTGGGTTTTTCTCTCCTCATTTTAGTCAGGTTTGCCAGGGGTCTATCGATCTTGTTTATTTTTTCAAAGAACCAACTTTTTGTTTCATTAATTCTTTGTATGGTTTTTTTGGTTTCTATTTCGTTGATTTCAGCTCTTATTTTTATTATTTCTCTCCTTCTATTTGTTTTGGGATTTGCTTGTTCTTGTTTTTCTAGGAGTTTGAGATGTATCATTAGGTCATTGATTTGGGATCTTTCAATCTTTTTAATATATGCACTCATGGCTATAAACTTTCCTCTCAAGACTGCCTTAGCTGTGTCCCATAGGTTCCGGTAGGTTGTGTTTTCATTTTCATTGACTTCCAGGAACTTTTTAATTTCCTCTTTTATTGCATCGATGATCCATTCTTCATTAAGTAATGAGTTATTTAGTTTCCAGCTGTTTGCATGTTTTTTGTCTTTACTTTTGTTGTTGAGTTCTACTTTTACTGCATTGTGGTCAGATAGTATGCATGGTATTATTTCTATTTTCTTATATTTGCTGAGGCTTGCTTTGTGCCCTAGGATATGATCTATTTTGGAGAAGGTTCCATGGGCTGCTGAGAAGAATGTATATTGTGTAGAGGTTGGATGAAATGTTCTGTAGACATCTACTAGGTCCACTTGATCTATTGCATATTTTAGATCTTGGATTTCTTTATTGAGTTTTTGTTTGGATGACCTATCTATTGATGATAATGGAGTGTTAAAGTCTCCCACAACCACTGTGTTGGCGTTTATATATGCTTTTAGGTCTTTCAGGGTATGTTTGATGAAATTGGGTGCGTTGACATTGGGTGCATACAGATTGATGATTATTATTTCCTTTTGGTCTATTTCCCCTTTTATTAGTATGGAATGTCCTTCTTTATCTCGTTTGATCAATGTAGGTTTGAAGTCTACTTTGTCAGAGATAAGTATTGCTACTCCTGCTTGTTTTCGGGGCCATTGGCTTGGTAAATCTTCTTCCAGCCTTTCATCCTAAGCATATGCTTATTTCTGTCGGTGAGATGAGTCTCCTGTAAGCAACAAATTGTTGGATCTTCTTTTTTAATCCATTTTGTCAAACGGTGTCTTTTGATGGGTGAATTAAGTCCATTAACATTAAGTGTTAGTACTGATAGGTATGTGGTGATTCCTGCCATTTAGTTGTCTTAGTTGTTTGAAGGTTTGATTGTGTGTACCTAACTTGATGTTACTCTCTACTGTCTTGCTTTTTCTTATCCTGTGGTTTGGTGCTGCCTGCCTTTTCATGGTTAAGTTGGGTGTCACTTTCTGTGTGCAGGATCCCTTGCAGAATCTTTTGTAATGGTGGCTTTGTGGTCACATATTGTTTTAGTTTCTGCTTATCATGGAAGACTTTTATTGCTCCATCTATTTTGAATGATAGCTTTGCTGGGTAGAGTATCCTGGGGTTGAAGTTATTTTCATTCAGTGCCCGGAAGATCTCACCCCACGCTCTTCTTGCTTTTAATGTTTCTGTTGAGAAGTCTGCTGTGATTTTGATGGGTTTACCTTTGTATGTTACTTGTTTTTTCTCTCTTACAGCCTTCAATATTCTTTCCTTAGTTTCTGAACTTGTTGTTTTAATGATGATATGTCGTGGAGTAGTTCTATTTTGATCTGGTCTGTTTGGTGTCCTGGAGGCCTCTTGCATTGTATGGGAATATCTTTCTCTAGATTTGGGAAATTTTCCGTTATTATTTTGTTGAATATATTACGCATTCCCTTCGCTTGCACCTCTTCTCCTTCTTCGATGCCCATGATTCTCAAGTTTGGTCTTTTGATGGAGTCAGTGAGTTCTTGCATTTTCTTTTCACAGGTCTTGAGTTGTTTAATTAATAGTTCTTCAGTTTTTCCTTTAATTACCATTTCATCTTCAAGTTCTGAGATTCTGTCTTCTGTTTGTTCTATTCTGCTGGATTGGCCTTCCGTTTTGTTTTGCAGTTCTGTTTCGTTCTTTTTTCTGAGGTTTTCCATATCCTGGCTGTTTTCTTTTTATTGTTGTCTATTTTTGTCCTGAGTTCATTTATCCATTTATTCATTGTGTTCTCTCTTTCACTTTGGTGTTTATACAGTGCTTCTATGGTTTCCTTTATTTCTTCTTTTGCTTTTTCAAATTCTCTATTTTTATTGTCTTGGAATTTCTTGAGTGTCTCCTGTACATTTTGGTTGACCCTATCCAGTATCATCTCTATAAAATTCTCATTGAGTACTTGTAGTATGTCTTCTTTTAAATTATTCTTGTGGCTTCATTGGGTCCTTTGGCATAGTTTATCTTCATTTTGTTGGAGTCTGGATCTGAGTTTCTGTTCTCTTCATTCCCCTCTGGTTCCTGTACTAATTTTTTGCTGTGGGGAAACTGGTTTCCTTGTTTTTTCTGTCTTCCTGTCATTGTCCTTGGTGTTGTTACTGTCCCTGTACTGTGTGTAATTAAGTATTTTCTAGCTTGTAATAATAACAATGGTAATATTGAGAATGGAAGAGTGAGCTGAGATGGAAAGCAAGAAGTTAAAGAAAAGGGAAAACAAATATACAGACAAGAGGGAGAAAGCAGAACAAGGTATCAGACAAGAGAGTTTCAAAGGTATAAACAGGGAGTGTTAGTGTACTAATCGACAGTAAGCTGAACAGACAATAGAGAGACAGAGAGAGGATTGAAAATCAAAGATAAAAAAAATAAAAAATAAGTATATGAAAGTAATATCTATTTATAAAAATGAATTAAAATAAAATGGAAAATAGAAAATTAAAAAAAAAAAAAAAAAAAAAAAAAACTTCCAAGTTTATATGCAATGCAATTTCAGTCTTAATAATTTGGATGTCCGTCTCAATCTCCAGTCCTGGAGTTGGTGCCTCAGATGTTGTTCTGTAGTTGTCTCATCAAAGGGGATGCATAAAGTAGAACAAAACTACACTCACACACACAGAAAAAAAAAAAAAAAAACCCCCAAGTGTCCCCAGTTCAAATGCAATACAGTTTCAGTAAGTTTTTCGGCTTGCAGGTGTAATTCGGTTGTTCTCTCATCAAAGGTAGGGAGAAAAAGAAAAAAAAGCGTCTGGAGGCAGTTCTGAGAGTGGTATCTGCAACTGTGGCTTGCCTGCCTGCTGCTCTCAGCCTGTAGCTGGCGGCGTTATTTATGCAGATCTCTGGGGTGAGCTTAGCACTCACCTGGTCCCACAGGCTTTGTTTGCTCAGAGTTCTCCTGTGCGGCGGCCTCTGCTACAGGCTTTCCCCTTTCCAAGCACTGGGAAAGGTGACACTGCCCCGCGTTGTCAGGCCTGCGTGTTTATTTACAGTTCACGTGGGAAGTGGGTCTTCCCTCCTCTCACAAGCGTCCCCGCTCCTGGTTGCTGGCGCGCCCCGCTCCCGCCAGAGCCTCTCCGGCCCGCCCGGCTTGTTTATTTACAGTCCCGGGAAGGTTCCCTTCCCCCAATCTTCAGCGCTCAGGGGCGCCCCACCCTCTTTCCAGCGTGTCTTAACTGTTCTTATTGCTTAGTACTCAGTTTCTCTTTTTTTCCCGGTGGAGGTCAGTCTGTCCAGGGGGCTATGCTGCTCTGGCCCAGGCTTGTCTGTGGGGGAACCGCGGTACCGCGAAGCTCACCTGGTCCGCGTCTTCCCAAGCCGTATGGGCGCCGGCCACTGGCGGCCCGGGGCCTCCTCGGTTCTCCGTTTAACGTGAAGTGGAGATTCTCTGCGCCGGCTGGAGATGTGGAGGAGTCAAAGTTATGCCTTTTCTCGGTGATTATGCCTGCAAAGTGTGTCTCCAGCTTCTCTCCAAGATTTCACTATAGGAGGGTCGCTTTCTGCTTCCTACCTCTAGCCGCCATCTTGGAAAGTTCAATAGGGAATATTTTTAAAAATAAGGACTGTGGGCACAGCTCAAGAACTTCTATCTAGCAAGTATGAAGCCCTGAGTTCAAATCCCAGTATCCCCCCCCCCAAAAAAAATAATGATACATTCGTATCACATTAATATTGTAACTGAGAGAGTGAAGGAGAGCAAATACGGTCTGTGGAGTTTGTATGAGTGTATGGAAATTGAACAATGAAACCTGTTTGAATTTTTTTTTAAGAATGGGGGGAAAGGAGGATGGGGGAGAATAATGGAGGGGGTGAATCTAGTTAAGATAAATTGTAAGCACATATGTAAATGTCACAGTGAACCCCCCCACACAACTAAAATGCTGCTAAAAAATACAAATATAAAGCACAAAAAAAAAAATGATGGTTCTGTATAGACAGACATAAAATAATCCTTAGACATATTGTTGAATGAAAAAAAAAAAACTTGCAGAACAGTATGCACAGAAAGAATCTATTTGTATAAGGAATGAAGCCCAAATTGTGCGTGTGTCCAAGTGTGTCCTCCTCCCCTCTTCCCCTTGTCCTTTCTCCCTCTCTCCCCCGCTCTCCCTCTCTCTTCCTTTTTCTCCCTCTTTCTCCCTTTATACATGCAGTTTTATAGGGAAACAAGAAAAGTCTCAGAAGGGTGGATGCCATTCTGTTTTCAGTGCTTATATTTGGAGAGGGACATTGGAGAGATGGAAGTTTGCCCCACTTTCTTCATTGTGATCTGAAGTTGTTTTTACAGTGGTATTTAGGTATCATATAATGATCAAATTATCAATGTAGTAAAAAATAAACTAATCTTTTGGCTTTTCTTTTTCTGTTAGGATTGGTCCAAAGGAAGATTTTTTCCACTGTTTGAAATGTAACTTATGCCTAGCCATGAATCTTCAAGGAAAACATAAGGTATATAATTCAGTTTGCAGAATTTTTAAAGTGTTACAATGGTTTTGAAGCCCCACTAAAATTGCGTCTTGGAAGCATGCTAATTTTCACACATTATCAAGTGTAACTATATTTACTTATTTTCAGAAAAGCAGTGTTAAGGAGATAAAAACTACATCCCTCAGAACATCTGACCTATGATTTCTATAGTGTAAGGATGCTTATATCAGTTAGTAGCATAATGTTGGATGACTTCTTAGTTTATGGATTCTTATCATTGGTACTGCTTCTAAGATTAACTTTTAAAGAGGAGAAATACTGAGCAGTGTAATATATTTGCACATCATTTAAGAAAATTTATGAAATTTTTTTATGATTAACGAATAACTATTTTTAATATGGATATATGAATTTTATCCCAGGTTCCCTTTCATTATTTAAAAATAATATAATGAGGTATTACATTTATAATACTTATTCTACCTAATGTAAGAACTTAGAGAATGGGGGGAGGGGTTGGTGGAAAGTGAAGTATAAGTGATATTTTACAAGTATTTAAAATTTTAGGTAAGGAGAACAGTAATAACAACATTGTGTCTGAGTGTTGAGTGAGAGAAAGAAGAGGGGTACAGAGGCAGAGTCAGAGAAATGGAGAATATTTGAAATAGTTTGCTTAGCACTGTTTTAAGTTGAATGGAAGATACAAATAAGAGGTTCTTGGAGAAATACAATACTAAATAGTACCTGAGCTAAGTAGTAAAGTGGTGAGGAAAATTAAGGTGAATTGTGAATATATAGGTTATGGCAACAGAGAATTAGAAAAAGAAAATGGGACTTAATAAAGACGACTCCCAATATTTTCAGTTTTGGCTTAAAGTAGTTGATGAGTAGATTGTGAATTTGTTAGGGTTTCAAGATTGAGTCTAGCTTCATAAACTTAAATTTGGATGATAGCAAGACAAGCTGGTTTGGTATTGTGGCCCCCTCCTGTAATCCTAAGTACTACAGAGACTGAGGCAGGAATACCTTGAGTTAGAAGCCAGCCTGGGCTACATAGTGAGACACTGTCTCAAAATAAATAGATTAATAAAGTAAAAATAGTTGTGAAATTAAGCTAGTGGAGATAGTAGAAGTCAATAGCTTTTTTTTTTTTTTAAACGATTTATTATAGATTTTTTTTTTTTTTTAAACAGTCTAGGAAGTTTGCAGCCATCAGCAGATCTAGTACAATTTTAGATGCAATTAGAAATTTGGGAATCTCAGTGGGGCTGTTAATGTAGTGAACTTTCTAGGTAAAATACATTATTTTGATAGTATATGTGAAGGAATGTCTCTAAAATTGACCTTACTGGTTTCATTCTCAGGCAACTGACCTGGGCCACCCATCGTGGTTTTTATTGTTCCTGATGTTAGTGCATGTTCTCTTTTTGCAATAGATTGGTGACCATCAGAAGATATCAGTTTGACATACATGGCATTAAGGTCTTCACATCCACCATAGGTTTCTTCTTTCCATTATATTCTTAAAAATTTTACTTTGGTTCCACAGGAACTTCATTAGTTTCCTGGTAAGATGTGGATGTAGAGTCCCTTCTTTCTGGGGGGAGTGCATGGAGGCCCCCTCCCTTTCTCTTCAGTAACCAATAATCTTCTGTAATACATTTCTGTGGTGCTGTTCTGCTTTCAGTGTGCTTGTAGAGTGTGTGCATGTACCACAAAGAGTGTGTGCACAAGCCCAAAACATCACTTGCATTTCATCAGCTCAGTCATGCCCTCAGCTGTCAGATATGTCTTTATTATAGAGATTTTAAAATGTGTGTTTATGTGTGAACTGTACCCTAGAAGCAAATGAAATGTGTATAAGTTTCGTTTCATAAGTAAGTAAAACTTTGTTCAAAATCTTAAGGATTTCATATGTGGTGGAGTTCAGATTATAATTCAGATTTTCATATTGAGGGATTTTTGTCTGCATTAAACTCTTGTTCTTTATAAAGCTACACATTTTTCGTATTGTGATTATTGTTTCATTTATTATTTTTTTTAATTTTATTCATATGTGCATACAATGCTTGGGTCATTTCTCCCCCCTGCCCCCACCCCCTCCTTTACCACCCACCCCGCCCCCTCCCTCTTCCCCTCACCCCTTCAATACCCAGCAGAAACTATTTTGCCCTTATTTCTAATTTTGTTGTAGAGAGAGTATAAGCTATAATAGGAAGGAACAAGGGTTTTTGCTGGTTGAGATAATTGTTATCTTTATTACTATATTACTAAGTGGTCCTGACTTCTACACAGGTGCTTTCATCATCTAATCAGACATTAAGTATTGCCACGATAAGGACTCAAGTTCTGGAGACAGTTTGCTCTTACTAGTATGTAACTTTGTAGGTTATTCAGCTTCTCCAGGCCTCAAATAATTCATCTGTAAAATGAAGTAATCATGATCCTGTTTCATTTAGGGTTGTGAGAATTGAACATATATGGTACTGTACTTAACAAACGTCATTTGGTAAATCTCAGTGTGAATTGTCATTGCTACCGACATTACTAATTAGTTTGGCCTGTGAATTTAGGCCGGAGCTTTATAGTAAAACACATACAAGATAGAAAAGTTCCAGCCCTTGTTGTCTTTGGATCTTGGGTAAGTATCTTCATTCCCTGCTTCAGTTTTCTAATCTGTAAAATGAAGGTAGTCTGAGTAATTAAGTTTTATTGAGCATTTTTATTGTTTCAGATAATGTGTAACTGACATAGTTGTGAAAATTAAAGAACTAGTAAACTGTTTTCTGACATAAAAGAAGTTTGTGTCAGTGTTAGCTACTGTGTTTAGTAAGTTGGTTTTATTATTAGTTTTTATTAATGCTCTTAACTATCATCTGACATTTTCATCTGTCACTGCTTTTGCTAATGTAAGTTCTCTTTTAAACAGTGCATTGAAAATGTTTCCCGGCAGAATTGTCCAATATGTTTGGAGGTAAGCTTAAAATATTCTTCACTTTGGACAGCTCCCTTCTTGACTTTAAAGTACATGGATGTTTGTGTTGTCTTTATACAAGCACTAACACTTGTTTTTCTTTTTAGGACATTCACACATCCCGTGTTGTTGCTCATGTCTTGCCATGTGGACATCTTCTACATAAGTAAAATAACTTATTTTTTCTCCTCAAAGATGTTTGAAAATAGTGGAGATAGTTTTTGTTTTACTGAAATAATGTTATATTTTCTTTCAGAACGTGTTATGAAGAAATGTTGAAAGAGTGAGTGATGGGATTTAAAAAATTGTAACGTGGCTTTTTTGTGTGTTTGGGAGGTGGGCAAACACATCTGGTACTTACATTGTATTGTGCACAGCAGATTCTTATTTTGAGATGAGTAGGGTAGATGAATAATGTTAAACTGGCCAAGGCATCTTGGGGGATGTAGGGTTACACGTTTGTCTTGTGTCTCCAGTATGCCTTATGTACTTCCAGAACTTGAGGCAGATACCTCTTATTTTATATCGTTACTTACCAGGAAACACAGTTGCTTCCAGAGGTAGTCATGGTGTTGTAAAACATGCTGAGAAATGTTTAGTAATGAACTGCAAAGAAAATTTGTACAGAGATTATTTATAACTGGTACTAAAACAGGATGAGAAGTAGTCAGGAAAGAGGAGAACTGTATTTTTGCCCTGCAGATTGTTGAGGAAAAATACTAAATGAAAGCCAGACCCTGAGGATCTTTTTCAAAGTTTCAGGAAGGAAATAATATGATCTGAATAATTTTTAGGAAATAGTCTCTTCTTTGCATGAATGTGTTAAGAAATTGAAGTCATTTAGCTAAGGAATGGCTTAAATGGTGTTTTTTATGTAGGTTGAATTATGTTCTACAAAGAATATGGACTAATTCCTCCCTGTTTTACAAATCAAGAACAAAGACTTAGTGTTTTAAAAAATACCATAGAACATAGCATTTAATTTAAACTTTTTATAGTGTGATGTTTCTGCATTTTCTAAGAGATTACCTTCATATGTCCTCCTGAACAGTTTATGTGCCAGAGAGCTTGCATTATCTTGTTACCTGAGTTGATGTAGTATCCATTTCATGTGTGGAAAATGTCTCTTCCAGAGGCTACAGATGTCCATTGTGTATGCACTCTGCTTTAGATATGACTAGGTACTGGAGACAGCTGGATGTTGAGGTGGCACAGACTCCTATGCCATCAGAATATCAGAACATGACTGTGGAGGTGAGTAGAAACTGCTTAGTGTTCAGATTTCTTTTGATATTTTTAATTTTTGCTCCTTTGCGTAAATTTACCTAAAATATACTGCTTTGACATAAATGCCATTGTGATTGAATAATAGGAAGAACAAAATGGTCTTTAAATTTTAGTTATGCTGAGCTCAGATCAGAAAAAAAAAAAAAAATCCAAGAATACCTTTATGCAGTTTTTCTAACACTAGATGGCAGGCAAAAGCCTTATTCTGAATTTTTGCATATCACTCCCCAGACTTGCAATGTAACTGGCTATCGGTGGATTGCTGATGTGTCATTTTAATTGTTTCATTTTTAGTTATTTCAAAGTTTATTTCAGGTGAACATGTTTACTTGATTTTTGAACTTTACCTTTTGGATTTTAGTGTTTACTGTCCTTTTTATCCTGTCTTAGACTTCATTTGCTCTTAATTAGCAAAGCATGAAAAGTGTTTCTGTGACTTTGTCTTACAGACAATCATCTTTTTTTCTACTGACTGATATGCTGCTTTTTTAACCTATTCTCAGCATTGTATTGAGTGGTAGATGAGAATGGGAAAGCTAAATGGTTTTCTTCAAATACTTACATACACAAAGATAAAAACCACGTGACAAAGCCAAATAAAAATTATTTTGGGGACTGAGGATGTAGCTCAGCACCAGAAACTTTTTTTATTCTTTGTTTTATTCACATTGGAAAGTTTCATAGTTTATGTGAGTAATTGAATTGTTACAATGAATTGTTTAATGACAATTAAAGGTCACTTTTAGAATGCTAACTGATAATCATATGATTTACTAGAGTTTGAAGTGTGCTATGTTCATGCCAATGATTTTTTGAAATAATAGTTTTGTTAAGATACCATGGGTGGGTTCTTTTTA